AATTTAGCAAATTATAATTAACATCATGCTTTATTAATTACATACACTGCCCTCCAAAAAGTATTCGGACGATGTTTTTCGATAATTACGCAAAATGCCACATAACGAAAGTACATAAAATTTATACCATATATGGCTTAGGTTTTGGCGGCTCTACATATAAATTTTCATTATACTGTCTTTCTTTTATGATTTTTAGTTAAAAAAAAACGAACACCAAATAAATCGCGAGGATTATCTTTGCGAATTTTTAATAATTTTATGTTTCTCAAAATCTTATATTATAAAATTCAATAAAAATTTAATAGTTTGTAGTTTAGGTCCTCATAAATAAACAACTAAAACTTTACGTTCCTGTCATGTGTGAAATTTTTGTTATTAAAAATAAACTGATATCAATAAAATTGATTAGATCAAAAAAAATTTCACAATTTTTTTTGATTTTTAAAAATGGCAAAAAATTCAGGATTAACTGAAGCTGAGCGAGGAAAAATTTAGGTCTAAGAATAGCTGGTAGTTCTCTTTCAAAAATCGCAAAGATACTTAATATTCCAAAGTCTACAGTTCACGACACTATCAAACATTATGAGAATGCCGAAATTTAAAAAAACATATAAAATGATCATCATAAAATAAGATAAATTTTGACCAGTGTTTGTTTTTTTAACTAAAAATCATAAAAGAATGATAAAAAAACGAGATTTTTCACATAGGTTCTCCAAAACCTAAGCCACATTATGACATAAATTTTATGTACTTTCGTTATGTGGAATTTTGCGTAATTATCGAAAAACATCGTCCGAATACTTTTTGGAGGGCAGTGTATATCTATAATGAGCAGTTTTTGAATAATATAATTAGAAATCATTAATTATTTAAAATGTATTAATTTGGAGTATGGATATATTCCATTGATTTATAATGGTTAATGATGATTTATTTTTTAATTAAATTTTTCTTTTCCAAGAAAAATAAATGATCTGGTATACAATGAGAAAGAAATGTCACGCGACCATTATTTTATTTAACCCATAATCCTAAGCTGATTTTAAAGTTGCGTTTGATCATTAAAAGTTGAGGATATAATGTTTTTTATTATGAATATATAGGATATTGCATTTTGTTAATGGGACATAAAGTTATGTGATGAAAATTTTTTTATGTAATGATGTCTGCGGAATTTTTAGTGGCTGATAAAATTTTTTTTCTTGACATTTGTTTCAGAACCATAGTAAATAATAATAATAGTATTAGTAGTAATAGTGAACCATTAGGTAGAAATAATTGAAAGGGATTACAATTATTCCCGTGGCCGATCACACGATTCTGGGCACATTTGAAGTCATATTCACCATCTTGGGTCTAGATCTTGTTCCTTCACTAAAACTCGATGAATGGATCTTCGTATTATATATATAATTCCAAACTTCCATTCATCAAAATTGTTATATATATTTTTACTATCACCCACCGAAAAAAATAATTTAAATATTTTCAAAGTATAAAAATAGACCAGATGACGGTAGCAGAAATTTGTATAATTATGCGTCACTCCTTTATTCGTCGCATATGTACATCGTATTCTACAGCAGTATGATAATTAGACTCTGTTTCAGATGATTCCGAATTCCAAGTTGGTGTATGATCGGGTAATTTCTATGAGTAATGCATCAGTAAAACTTTTACTTTGTTCAAAACTCAGACTGGTTATATAAGTGTAATACACTTAGAATGTTTTTATCCGAGAGTTTAGAATAATATGCAATTTTGAAGCTTTTTAGACTTGAACTATGGGCTGTTATTTGTTTTTTACATGCTAATTCTAAAAATTCTTCCAAAAGAGTAATATTCTTACAGGAGGGAAATATTTCATAATTGTAATCTGATGCTCTATCGTCTACAAACTCAAGGTGTGTAACTTCTTCATTACTTGTGTTAATCCTATTTTCTTTTCTTTCAGATGAGATTTTGATGGATTATATCTATAATAAAATACACTCAAAGTGAAAAAAAAATAATTTAAAAGAAGTTGAAATCAGATGCCTTGGGAAAAGGTATGAATATATTTGGAATTACACTTTCTACGAAAGATACATAATACACGTGATAGAAGTTGATATTTTTAATTTGCCGGAACTATTAGAACTAATTCTATATTTTCTAGCAAAAGATCAATCACCCCATCCTGCTCTATTTGTTAATCGGTTTGGTATTATATCGCTGGAAAAATATTATGGAAATATAATGATTCGAATTTTCAGGATTCTTTTATTTCTGCATTTAATCATTTTCTCATAGAAATTGGCGAGTCTATCTCTAATCATTCATCGTGGATTATGAATAACATTACTCCGTAGTAGAGAATGAGTAATTAATAATTAGTTATTTTTTTTTCGGCTAGAAGATAATTTATATCACAAGATGATGTATGTAAAATGTAAAATCCATAAAGAGGATCGTGAACCCTATAAAAATTTGTCACCCAAAAAAAATTAACTGGTGACGAAAGTGGTGACACTCTTATTACACTTATTGGAACTTTGAGAATGAAATGAGCCGTCTCGACCAGTGTCACCAGTGTCACTAGAAAATTTCTCAAAGTTATACTCTTTATTTTGTTTTCTTTTTTACATACATATATACCATATATCATATACATGATAAAGTTTCGATTTTTTTTGCTAGATTTTATCATTCTACTAGTGACACTAGTGTATATAAAAGTAATCAAGAAAATAAAGAAACAATTTAAAAATCTCAATGAGGTGTCACCAGTTAAATTTTTAATCTAGTGACAACTGGCGACAAAAAGTATAAAAAACGCAGATGGCTACTCGTTTTTATAGTATGAATTCATGGTATCCAAGTGTGGAATTATGTATACATATAACGCAGATGCCTACCCCGTTACATGGCTTCTTTCCGCATAGTATTATCACGTGGATATGAGTATATAATCAGGGGTAGTTAATAAACTTTGGTATATAGGTGAAGTTAAGTGCAGAAATATATATAGAAAAAAACCGAAGTTGTATACCCTACCCAGTTAAGGCGTTAATTGATACATCATCATTTGAAAATGTTATTAGTAAAAGCTTAGTCAATAAACTTGGAATAAATATTAATATTAAAAAGCTAAATTTCAATCGAAGTAAATGAAAAAAACATGCCGTAAAACGTTCTTTGATTTGCAATAGATCTTGACTAACACTTATTTCAATCAAACTCGCCTATATTTATAATTTATAAAACGTTCCTTTGCAAAACTTGATTCGCAAACTTCTTAGATCTTGTATTTAACACTTACTTTGATCGCGCCTATGCAAACTAGACAAACGTGTGTTAAAAGTAAATAATAAATGAAATTTTGATTAACACAGAAAGCAAAAAAGGTTAATTTATATTAATATATATATATAGGATGGGCGAAAAAATTAAAACATTCATACCACTAATACGACAATAACAAAGGTAAAATTGTGATACACATGGCAGTTTTCAATTTATTAATAACTAGCACTGTCATTTCGATTAACAATAGGCATGTGTCAGTTTTCTGATCTAAAGTTTTCTAATGCACTTTTATTTCAGGTGCGCAACTACCTTTGGATTTACAAAAAGTTCAAGACAGTCTAAACTCGAGACAGAAGAAAGTATGATGTGTTGACCTCCCCCGAGGTCAAAGTCGCATTGTTAGAATGTATTTTGGAGGAACGTAGAAAACCAGTATGTTTATTTAGAATACTTGTATATATTGTCAAGGTACCAATGCACTTCACTAAATTTATATTAATATTAGTTCTTTCGCCGGTTTCTCTTTCCTACGAAACCTTATAGGAAATCGGGACAGAATTAGTTGGTGTTATACTCTATACGCTTACAATTGGTATTATCGCTTTCATTAATGCAGATACTTCAAAAGTGAAGAATCAACAAAATATTTTGTAGTGGCATTGAATATTGTTTATTGCATCATTAAATTATTATTATTGGAATATTATTGGAACGAGATGGGTTAATGTATATCAATAAAGCTATGTTTATTATTACTTTTCCAATAATTCTGGGGTATTGTTGACAATGTTATTGGGCATTTATGCCCTACCACCCGTCATAACAATTACATTTGTGAATGTAGACATAGAAATATTAATATCTAAATTTATTATTCGATTGTTTGCTTCTGGACAAATGTAATAATATCGAATGCTTTTGCAACAAATATAATATAGCTACATACATGATTAATTGCATAAAAATTTTTTTTTGAATAGAGGGTTGTATTTTAAAGAATTTTTATTCTCTTAAATTATCGAAAATTTCAATCATAAGCTTGTCATAAAGGCACAATAGTCCAAGAACAGGCATGATATATAAATGTCATATGACATTGCTTCCTGATAAATTTAAAGAATGATTGTACAATAATGTCATAATAATAATGAAGTCTGGTTTATCCATGTTGATATACTACTTTTTTTAAAACTCTTGTCCGTTTTTTTGATAGTTTGTAATTACATAGTAATTCAACAAAGAGTAAAAAGCAGAAATTAATTATTAAAAAAGTAGTATATGTTAAATATGTCACGCAAATCTAGAAATAATAGGCGAAAAACTCTAGGATAATTAATCCTACAAAGTATATACAATTCAAAAATCTCGTCAAGTATATGCACATCATAGAAGATGAAATCATAGTTATAATTAATAGAAATATGCAAGATAGGAAGGCAGTATTTGATCACGAAGAGGTAAGTAAATATCTAGAGGCGAATAATATCAATTCATATATTCTCAAAATGTGTAATGATTAATTGACTTATTTTTTCGTATATGTTAGGATTGTAAAAAGATATCAAAGTTATAGCTGTTCCATTCAATTATTTGTCTATTTATTAATTAATTAATAGTTTAGAATTAAAAACATGTAATCTTAATTGTTCTATTTTTTAAATAAATGTATGTGTATAATTTAATATTTTTTTGTTTAATTATTTAAATTATTTAAATAAAACTTTCAAATCTTCTAATCTTCTTTGTGCAATTTCTTTTTTACTCAGTTTTTGTGATAATGTTAACTCGGCAAGTTTTAGTTTACGACTCTGAAGTTTCAAAATATTTTCTTCTACTGAATCCTATGATGACAACAATTAATATTAATGATTAGTTCATTGGTCATACGTGCAAGAGTATAAAACAATTAATATAAAAACATCAAAAAATACCTTTATAATAAACCTTATAGTATCGACTGGTGCTGTTTGACCTAATCTATGAATTCTATCAATAGCTTGATTTTCAACAGACGGATTCCTAGATAAATATATATATATATATTAATGATTGTGAAATATTAATTCTTAATTTTTATTTTATTAGCAAGTAAAAAATATGTCATCTTTTTCTTACCAGAAAGGATCCATCAAGTATACTCTTTGAGCAGCGGTTAAATTTAACCTATTAAGAATATTATATATAAATATTAGTTAAAACGTAAATAAAACTATATATAGACTTGATAATAACAACAATTGTCATCATCATCATCATCATTAACACTTACCCAACACCACCAGCTTTCAATGAAACAAGAATAACGTTCACTTTATCAGATGCTTTAAAACATTCTATATTTTGTGCACGCTCTAATCTATTCATTGTGCCATCTAACCTCGTAAAAGTTAAATCATTTTCTTTTAATGCAACCTAATAATAATATATATATGTGTGTGTGCAAAAACAATAATAAAGTTAGAAAATCTCGTTTCTTCTTCTTCTTCTTCTTCTTCTTCTTCTAGTAATAATAACAATAATCGATTATTTACCTCGATTAAATCCAATAATTTTGTCCATTGTGAAAATACTACACTTTTGGTATTATTAATTTTCACTGCTAATAAATCAGCAATCAAGGCTTTAACTTTAGTGCTATGTGTAACGTTAGTTGATGTTTTAATTTCTTGTTTTATTGTTTTCTTAGAATTTTTGATTTCATCAAACAATGAATCTTTAACTTCGATAACATCTCCAACTTTTAAACCACTTCCGCATGATGGACAAGAAATATTTAATGTTGTTGTCGTTGATGTTGATAATGATAATGATAGTGATGATGATGATGATGATGATGACGACGACGACGAAAAAGAAGACTTATAATTATGATTATTAATATAATCAATTTTATTCTTTCTCCAACTGTTATTTTTATATTTAATACTATTATCTTTATCATCATCATCATCATCATCATCACCACCACCATCATCATCGTCAATGATGGTAATAATGTTATCATCACTATCTAAAGAACTACTACTAATAGTATTATTACTGCTAATAATAGTGGTAGTGGTAGTGGTGATGGTCTTATTATGGATGTTGTTGCTGCTATCTGAGGATGATAAACTTTTTTTAAGAATGTCTTCCATAGATTTCTTTGCACATTCAACACAAAACAAATGTTCACATTTTGTTATAACTGACACATCACTCACATATTGAGAACATGTGCAACACTGGTCCAAACCACTTTCCCTAAAAAGTTCCAATATCACCACAGCTCGTTTAATTGTCAAAACACCATCATTGTCATCATCCAAGTCGTCAGGTATTTGCAATGAACCAATCAATGAAAAATGAGCACATATTTGTCTCAATCTTAATATCGAAGCCAAAATATTTACATAATTTTGCATAACATTATTATTTTCTTCCATGATTTTTAATTTTTTTGTTTGACGTGAATGAACCTTGTTGTACAACTTTCTTTCATATTCGTCAAGTTCAAGATAAGTGATATGATCCTTTTTTGGTGGTAATGCCAACAATTGTCTTCCATTTGCAAATTTCTTTCTACGTAACATAATACATTTCATCAAAGTTTGTAATCGATTCAGACCAATGGAATCTATCGTTTTGATGGGTTTAGATATGTAATAATTCCAATTTTCCTTTTTATCAAATGGTGACATGTGTAGAAACTTAATAAGAGCAAAAAGATCATCAAGTCTACAAAAATGGGGTTTTTTAAATGATAAATTATTTTAAAATAAAAAAAAAAAGACAACATATATATTGATAATAACAAAAGATGACGATAATTTACTTGTTTTGAATTGGAGTTCCAGTAAGGCACCATCTTCTTTCAGCGTTTAATGAGCAAGCAGCTTTACTCTGAACAGTATTTACATCTTTTATAACATGAGCTTCATCTAACACTATACGAAACCAATGAATTTTTTGTAAAGCACTAGTAATATTGTTTTTTGTCTGTTTATTATATTCAGTGCCTGTAACATTATAAGTGGTTAGGACAATATCATAATCAACTAGAAGAGATGGATCTGATATTCTGGTTCCTCCATGATAAACGTAAATACTAAGAGTTTTGGATTTGACATGACTAGTAAACTGATCCTCCCAATTCGAAATAGTCGAAAGTGGACATATAATAAGAGTTCCTCTTGACTTTATACCATCTGTACTTTCCACATATGAATCAGAATCTGATAACTCAGAATCATCATAATCATTTATATTTGGCTTTTTTTCAGAATTATCATTTGCAGTAGTAATAAGGGAGGAGTTTAAAAAAGTTGGTGAGGTTGATTTTGTTTTATTGTTGGGTTTTGGTTTTACATTTGAAAATTTTCTCGCTTCCTCCAAAGTACCAAGAACCAATGCAATTATTTGAATGGTTTTACCAAGTCCCATCTTTTATATATTAAACAGTAATAGTAATAATAATAAACATTAATATAAATGATAATGGTAATAATATTTTTATTGGTAATTATAATACTAGTAATTACTAACATCATCAGCTACTATCCCGCCTCTCATTTGAGAAGGTTTCTCATCGATTTCATCATCGGTGACCACATTATAATACACAAGATAACGATCTGCGTTTCTTCTGGTTCTCCATAAAGAAGTTAAGGCATTGGTTTCCTCATTAGTAAAATCATTAAATTTTTCTCTTTCCAATAGAAAAAATAATGCTTGTTTTTGATGTTTATATAATGGAGTTATCAATCGTTCATCTATATTTTTTTTGTTTATCAATGAAACAAATCAAAGTTATTTAATTACCAATATATTAAAATCACGCAGACTTAATAGGCCATTGATACTCTCTGTAAACATCTAGACAAATTAATTAATTAACTAACCAGGTTGTGCTTCTGAAATATCATCAGAATTCATTAAAGAATTAAAAACGGAATCAATTTGATTTTTCACATTATCACTTGCTACTTTTGTTGATACCCCACCACTAGCAGCCAGAATACTATTAACATTAACGCTTCTACCACCTATAAAATTATTAATATTCATATTCTTTAATAAAGGGAGAGTATTTTCTGATATAAGTCTGTTGACAGATAATGGATAATGAGGATTTGAATAACGCGTATTTTTATTATATTCTACTATTGGATTCTTTAATGTAACATTATTGTTGAATAAATGATTGCTAACAGAACTTGTATTATCAGGATGGCCATATATATTAATATATAGTGGAATTAATGTGTCCTATATATATGAAGAATTTGTATTTATATTAATTATCTATAATATTGTTGAATGTAGATAAATAAACAAACAAACAAACAAACAAACAAACAAATACCGATATTGAATATTCCTTTGATATATAAGCTTCTGTCCAAATAAGATTATCGTCCATTAATGATGTCAGAGTTTTAGCTAACTCTGGTTCAACTGTACCAAACTATAACAAAAAGTATTGATATTAACAAAGAATGTTTTGCAATTAAAATATCCATTGTAGCTAAAATGATCGTTGTTACTTACTGCTTCTCCATTCGCCTTGACAAATATATATAAATACGTGGCGGCTAAATATATTATTCAATTATATTAATATAAATTTGTATAGTGATTTATATAAACCATTTAATAATAAACTTATTTACTTGGTTTTGTATTTCTTTCTAGTTCTACACTAACATAACCTATACCACCAGTACAAGGTCTAGGTTTCATAACTATTGCCGAAGTCTCAATCATTCCCCAACATATATCTTTATTATTATAATTATTATAATCGTTAATAAGATTATTATTAGCTCCAACAATAATGCAATCATCCTCGTCATCACTAATAATAATAGGAACGTTATTCTCGCTGTTTTCATTATTTTTGTTGTTGACTGTAGTGACAATATCTGGTGGCGTTGTTGTCGATGATGATGATAGAGGAGTTAAAATTGTATTTATATTATTATTCGGGTTTGAATATGGAGAACGATTGAATGTAGAAGAAGAGTCTGAAAAATTATCTGCGCTAATAATATTGTTTATATCGCCATTACTGCTAACACTATTGTATGGTATTAAATTATTTTGATTTTGTGTATAATGGTTATTATTAGTCATATTTTGATATAGATATGGATTGAAATTATCTCTATAATCTATGTCGTTATCATCGCTATCATCATTATCATTATCATTTATAGGATGGTTGTATGGATTATGAATCATTGGTATAAATTGTTGATTGATATTACTGTGATTGTTATTAATAGTGTCGTCAATATTGTTCGTAGAATTACTTGTATAATTATAATAACCTAATTGTAATTGTCAACCGAAAGATAAATTTAATTTATTTATTAATATTAAATAGCAATTGGAATAATAATATTGAAAATTTTACCTGGTAAATTACTGCCATCACTAACATCGACATTACTAACAACATTATTATTTAAATTATTATAAGGATAAACAATATTATTATTATAATGATTATTGGTGTAATCATAATCGTTGGTGTCGTTATGATTAATAATACTATTAATGTTGTAACCCGGAGTGGAATTTATTTCACTAAAAGTTAAATGAGAAGGATTAACGATGTAATTTGTTGAAGGATCGGTTTCTTGAAGCTTGGTGCGTTTTATAGATGGTAAAGTTTGAGTGTCGTATTTGTCGTAGCCATCATCGTCAACCCTTTGCTTTTTCGAACGCGTCGTTGACTCTTCATTAATCAAGCCAATGTACGAATTTGAAGTCGGAGATGTCGTCGTGTCTGTCGAGACATTTTGTTGGGTGTTGTTGGTGTAGTTATTGTTGTAAGTGTTTTGTGCAAATGTCATGATTTCTTTACTGAAAAAAAAAGAAAATGGGAGAGAGGGAAATGGGGGGGAAATTTTAAATGTTTAAGTTCAGTTCCATTAACTAGCATAATTATAGAATAAATATTTACCTTTGAGTTTAAATTTGATTAAAAGGGAAAAAATTTATTTTTTTTAAAAAAAAAATAAACAATAAATAAATAAATTCCTATTATTTATTATTAAATGATGAATTTTTTGAATGAAAAATGAAAAAAAACTGAATATATATATAATATAATAAATATATTTGTATATATTTGTATATATACACAAGCTTTATAAATATTACGTCATTATTTTTATACTTATTTTCCAATTCATATGATTGATTTAATAAAATTCATTTTCTTTTTTGTTTTTTCTTTTCAGATTTTTTTTTGGAATCAATAATTAATAAAGAAAAAGATTGGACTTTTTGTGTTCAGAGTTTTTTGTTGGTATAAACAATTGCTGTCTTTGGTGGCACTAAATAACTAACCAATTGTACACACATGATACTTCCAAGAGATAAATGTCTTGTCCATATTAAGGAATACATTTATTATTATATACTCTAGTGTCCTAAATAAAATAAGGCAAGTCACAATTATAATTCAACAACAACATTACTATTATTATCATTTTATTTAAAGAAAGTTTATTGAATTCACATTTTAATCTCTCTTAACTACATAAAGTTATTATTGTTTATTTTTATCAATGAATATTTTATTTGATATCAATGAATACTTTATAATTTTAGAAATATTCTAGAAATTTATATTATATTCAGATCGACACAGTGTATATTTAGTCGTGTAACCAGTACAAATTTAGAAAAGATCTCTAGAAATACAATATTCGATTGGATAATAATGTTACACGCGCCCTTGGCGCCTTTCAATTTTACACACCGGATCGACGATATCTTTTTTTTTTAATAATTTTTTAAGAAATATGAATAACAACAACAATAACAATAATGATAAATCAATCGAGGATTTAGCTTTAAAAGGTTTAGGATCATTAGAAGCACTTGTTGAAATGGCTGGTGAAATATTCACTTCATTAAAACAATATTTAGGAAATGACAAAGATGTTGTTGCTGAATTACAACAACAGCAACAGCAGTCAGTTATTATTGAGAAATATCGACAATATAAAAAAGCTGAAAACGATTTGAAATTGTTGATTGAACAAATTGAAGAATTGAGAAAAAGAAAACGAAAAGAAAACGATCCTGAAAAAGTATCATCATCATCATCATCATCATCATCATCATCATTATTATTGCAACTAAAATGAATAAACGAATGAATAAATTGATTGATTGATTGATTGATTGATTGATTGGTCGATTGATTGATTTGATTTATTATTGATTGATTGATTGGCTATTTATCTTCTCTTTTTATTACTTGATTTATTTTTTAGCCCGAAAGCTCGACAATTAATATTAAAGAATTACAAGAAATACGTGATTCACTTCTTCAAGTATTATATATTTTTTTTTTTTTTTGAATAGAAGCTCATTTCACTGGAAATATAATCAATTATTATTATTATTAATGTGTAGGAATCGGAAACTCAAGCAACTCATTTAACAAATCTACTCGAACAAACTTATAAATTTCAATTTCAAATACAAACATTATTATCATGTATTGAACAACAAGAAATATCGCCAATTACAACTACAAATACAAATACAAATACAAATACATCTAATTTTTAAGTATTTTTGAGGTTTCGCAAAAACAGTTACTAATTGATAATTGAATAATAAAAAATTTTCATTACAAAAAATGTTCATTGAATTGAATTAATTGATATTTGACATATGTCAGAAATTTAATATTTACCGAAAGCAAATATTTTAGATATTAATATACATTGTACAGAACCACCACAGGGGTAATATACTATCAAGTTTAAGATCTTCCTTGTTGGGAGGTTGGTTTGCATTGGAAAAATAATCTTTGAATATTTAATATGAATTAAAATATTATTTAAGAGTTTAATTACTTGTTTATTATTGCATTGATATTGTCAGTTCAAAGATTAAAAAAATAATTGCGTTGCATTTTAGTATTGAGCGGAATTTTCCATAATCAGGGCCAATTAGAAAAGATCGAGAATAAAAAAGGAAAAATGTATTGAAACAAACCCTACGCCTTCTACTGGAATTTTCACTAAACTTCCAATTCTTCTAATTTAGCCAAATTTTCAAGGTGGTTGATGAGTAATAATGTAACATTTTTTATTTATTGTCAAAAAAAAATCAAAGCAACAAAGTTTGATTTCAAAAATCAATTTCTTTATTTGGCACCATAGAGTACATTTTATGTCGATTACGACCCACATATGGATATTACAATTGTATGGTGGTACAGTTGGTAAAACACATAATAATTTATGTTACCTAATAATACCTGTAGTTTGTTTAATTTGAAAAAAATAATGGTAATAGTAACCTTTATACGAAATAATAATAGTTATTATTATACATTAGTTTAAAACTTCTGAAATGCCCGATTGATTCCGAAATTGCCCAAATCCGAACTTAATACAATGCAAAACCTCTATAATAGGAATTAAGTATGTACGTACGTATGTCTTGTGATCCAGCCATCAGTTTTAAAAAAATATTTCTTCTTAATTTAGAAAATTTCTATCATATATCATATCTATCATATCAGGAACCGCCTGTGTGATTGTATTTATTATTTGCCTTTCCTGTAAGACCTTTCGTGCATATCAACGTTAGGTAATCAAAGAAACTGAATCCAAAGCTTTTGGAACTGTTTTTTGCAGACAGTCCAGATATTGTTGCATTTGTTATGAGTACAAAACCCGATACATTTCTATCCAGTTTAGTTAGTTCATATATAGTGATATTTTGGAAAAATTGCATGTTTCTCGATTGCCTTGATTTTTGAGTAACAAAAATCATCTTGCAGGTTATTGTATGCGTCAAACTCTTTCTTTGCTCTAGCATTACCAATAAGTTTAGGATTTCCTTTACACATTTTACAATAACCAAGAAGTCCTTCTTTCCATAAATCTCTCTTTTTGGTTGATTTGAATATGCGACCATTTGGAAACGCTATTGGCTGAAATGTTCTATCGGAACCAAAGTGTCATATTTATAATAATAACATTCAATCCACTTCTCGGCATTACACAAAGAAAATACGCCAAAATTAGATTGAATATTGCAAAATTAATATGTTGTTCTTTCTTTTTTTAATATTTTATTGATTCTCTTGACAAGTTTTTGGGTTGTAAATTTTGATTTTCTGATAACTTTAGTCTACTAAATGTTCCTGAAAGAAACCACTTGCCATTATTGACTTACTTGACCTTTCTTTCGTCGTAGTGGTGGTTCTCCCGGATTTGTAGGTCGATTATAATTCGCATAAAAATAAAACAAATATTTATCAGACTACACAAATATATTCAAATTTTTCGGTTTTTTCAAATAAAACAAGATTCTTTGTTCTATATTTTCATCCTCAAAGGAATATATTTTTTGGGGAAATTTTTATCGGAATTAAATTGGTGTAACTTGTATTTGTTGATAAAAAAAATGAGTCTTGATGTTTCACGAAACATCTGATTGATAATCGAAGCGAAAAAATTTTTATATAGGATAGATAGGATAGATAGGATAGGTTCAACTCGTTTTTAAATATAGAAGATAGATAGCTTGGACTTTTATAGTTAAATTATTTATTTATACTTGACCAACTAGGTAGCCACCTCTAAAAATTTAGAAAAAATAACTACTTACCTGTAAAGGAAAAATTATGACCAGCGTCGAAGAGTGCACAAACATATATCTTTAGTGTTAGTTAGTATTTGGCAAAAGCAGCACTTTTGATACAAAAATTAACTAAAGTTAAAGGAAAAGGGATAATCAGTGTCGAAGCAGATAACTGGGCGTTTACACTTATTCCCGTATTTAGTAAAAGCAGCACTTTTATACAAAAATTAACACTAGCAAAGTATACAAAAATTAACTTCAGTAAAGTATACAAAAATTACTTCAGTAAGGTATACAAAAATTAACTTACTTATAAGGTGGTTATTTCTGTTAATGCATAGCCGACTAGTTCAAACGTGGCTATATATATACAAAAATTAACTTACTTATAAGGTGGTTACTTCTGTTAATGTATAGTCAACTGGTGTCAAACGTGGCTATATATACACAAAATTTAACTTACTTATAAGGTGGTTAGTTAATGCTTATTTAAATAGTGTTAAACGTGACAATATACAAAAACCAATAAAGTGGTTACTTGATTGTAACGGTCTACAACGTGGTTCCAAATAAATTTTACTTATAAAGGAAAACTGTCAATTACAAAAAATAACTTTACTTATAAAGGCATAGTGGCCGTATCAAATTATCAAACAAAAATTAGTGGTATAAAAAAGCTTCATCTGGTTTTAATACGGAAATGTGACAATCTTTTTTTACAATAAATATTCTTTAGAATATTCTCTCGAGAATAAATACCAAGATTTCTCAATACCAAAACGTTTTAAATGATAATAAATTTATTTCAAAAAAATAAAAATAAAAAAAAATTTTTAAATAATCAATTATTTTCAAGTGTATTTCATTTCATTCTCATTATATCCAATTGTCGGAAATTTTTTTGCAAATTCTATAACTTCTTGTTTTAACTCACCTATTCTAGGTTCTGAGGATCCATCTTCACCTAAAAATTCTTTAAAATCACTAACTTTTCTACCTATATAAATAATATAAATAACCAACATAAATATAAATATTCCTAGTAATACAATAATAATTGATTATTTATTACCTTTTACTTTATGTTTTTTAACATCAATGGCAATTTGAATACCACGATGAACAAATTCGGCAACCTTTTCAAAATCCAATTCATTGAGTCCACGTGTTGTCATTGCAGGGGTTCCAACACGAATACCACCTGGTGTCATGGCACTTTTATCACCTGGCACAGTGTTCTTATTAGCAGCAATATTTACTAATTCAAGAACTCGTTCTACTCTTGCACCATCAATTTCCTTTAATTTTAAATCTAATAATAATAAATGTGTATCGGTACCACCTGATACCATATTATAACCTTTATCAGAAAAGGATTTTGCAAATGATAAACTATTTTTTATAACTTGATGTTGATATTCTTTGAACATGGGTGATTTTGTTTGTTTAAGAGCTACAGCCAATGCTGTTATCGTGTGATTATGCGGACCACCTTGATGTCCAGGAAATACTGATTGATTGATAGGATTCTCAAGATCATAATGTATTTCTTTTTTTTAAAAAAAAAATCAAAAGTCAAAACAATGCAAAAAAAAAAATTTATATGCCACCTTCCTTTTTTTAAAGAGAGCCTCTTAATTTCTGGGAGAGGCGAAATTCATAAAGACCTTTTTCTTGGCCAATGCTTAAAAAAAAATATATAACAATCTCATCTTAATCATCACCTTCTCCTTTCTTTGTAACTTTTCTAACGCCTTTTCTATAGAATATTAGAGCACCACGTGGACCTCTAAGAGATTTATGAGTTGTGGTTGTGACAATATCACAATAGCCAAATGGTGATGGTAATGCACCAGCAGATATCATCCCACTTAAATGAGCAATGTCAGCCATTAGATAAGCATTAACTTTGTCAGCGATTTTCTTCATACGTTCATAATCAAAATTTCTTGGGTATGCACTAGCTCCAGCAACAATTATTTTTGGCCGATACAATGAAGCAACTAATTCCAAAACATCATAATCGATCCTGCCAGTTTTTTCATCTAGTCTATATGGCACAGTTTCAAAATATGCTGATACTGCTGATATTTTTTTTGTATCGGTCTGATATCCATGAGATAAACTGACGATTAATAATAATTATAATTATAATTATTATTATTGTTATTGTTATTTTTTGAAGCAAAAAATTAATATAGATCTTTTAATTAATCTAATAATATTTACTGTCCACCATGAGGTAAATCTAATCCCATTAATCGTTCATGTGGCTTTAATATAGCATAATATACATATAAATTTGCAGGTGCACCTACAAATGACAATAACGATAGTAAATAATAATAATAAATACAACTATTTTTATTCCTTTGATTATTACCAGATAATGATTGTACATTTACACCCCATTTTGATTCATCCAAATCAAATGCATCTAAAGCACGTTTCTGACAAAGAGTTTCTGCCTGATCAATATATTCATTTCCTCCATAATATCTAACATAACGATATAATAATATATCCACATTAATTATAATATGTAAATATTAATAATTTATAAATTAAAAATCTTGATTAATTATTATTTTAACCTTGCACCAGGATATCCTTCTGAATATTTATTTTGCATCACTGATCCTAATGCTTCCATAACAGAATGTGATGTAAAATTCTTTTTTGATGATTTTGGATAGAAAAATAACAAGGATGTAATATTTATATATGATATAAAAATATATTTTGTCTGCCAATAAATTAATTATGTATACATACTTCAGAAGGAATTAATACAATACTTTCACGTTGTCTTTTCTTTTCTTTTTCAATAATATCAAAAACAACAGGATCAATTTTCTCCAAACGTTGATTCATGTACTAACAGTCATTATTAATAATAAATTAATCGAATTAGTAATTATTTTAATTATTTTAAAAAATTTACAATATTGATGATTAACTAATTACTTCATGTTGAGTATTTGAAACATAATTTCTCTAAATATA